TTCTACGTCAGTTTGAAGTACACAGGTTGTACTCTATGTCGAGCTGTTTTGTTGATTAGCGTACAGTCTACTTTTTGAGATATAGAGATGTCAATAAAGTGAGTTATAAAGTTTTTTCCCGTTCTTTTATCTACTGCTGAACTGCAAAACAAAACAGTGAATAGCGACTAACCGTTTCTAAAAAAAAGTCGCGATCAGATTTAAAATACTTTTAAGATTTTATCGCGATCGCGCCACGACAGCAAGAGTCAATAGCGATCGCGTCGCGATAGCGTGAAACAATCGCGATCGCGTCGCGAATAGCGCGAAACCTTAGCTGTCGCTCCGCGACATAGCGATCGCGCCGCGAATGAGGCGGGACAGTGGGAACGGAGAACGAATAAGATAAAAGAAATTGAATGAAGAAACACGTTGTCATGTGTTTGTTTTCTTTCTGATTCACTTCGAGTTTGAAGAGATATCCATTCTATCTATCTAAGCACATCTTGGCACTTCTTGGCGATTCAAACATCTACAATGGGTGAAATAAGTGTTCGGAAATAGAGTCAGTGTCCCTATTGACAGCAGGAAAAGTTTTCTTTTTCGTAAATCTCGATTTTCTCAGCCATTTTTCAAGTGATAAGAGGGAATTTTAGATTCCGGGATAGAGGAGACAACTATGTAAAAAGTTTTCAAAACTAATATAGTTTGACTCAATTACAATGATAAAAAGAAGAGGCATGCTCGATTCCTTTGCGTTCTTGCGTGTTCTCAAATATAGCAGTCAAGCTATTTTTTGTTCATATTGATGGCAGGTCGATTCAAATACACGGCGTTTTTTACACCCTCGAAGAAAAAAAGTTTTCTTGACGGACAAAATTAAAATATTTTAAAAGAAAAATATATACAAATGTTCCTCTGATCACGAGGAATCGAAGGGTACTATTTTAATTGAAAACAGATCGGGTTTTCACCTTCATCTGCGCCACAGGGCAAACTGAATGTATTTGAATGGAGCTGCCATAAATAGGCACAAAAAAACGCTTGACTGTTATATTTGAGAACAGTACCTATTGATGGTAGGCCATTCAGTTTGCTCTGTGGCGCAGATGAAGGTGAAAACCCGATCTGTTTTCAATAACAGGTCGGTAAATTTTTTGTGAAAACTTCCAAGGACTTGTCCATTCTCCGAAGGAGACGGAAGTTTGAAGTTTATTTTTACACTAGCTGACAGCAGTGAAGAACGCATAATGAAGATAAAAGCTGCTAAATAAAAGTGAAAATCAATAACTTCAACACCAACACGTACCGTGACGTAAACTAAGAAAAAAGCGTCTGTAGTTGATAGTATGTTGACGATACGCATGTAAAATTGAAAGTCAAGAACTTATGTTTGATTGTATTTTATTTTTTAAAAATTTTTGATGTTCCAAAAGAGGAAACTTTTTTCGAAAAAAATGAAAGTGAAAATTCGGAATACAATATCAGTCATTTTGTCCAGAATTCAATGCTGGATACGATATATAGTTTGTTTTCGAAATTATTGAAAACCGACTACATCGAAAACCCTCCGCCGTCCTTTATCGAAAGTTTCTCGTAAGTATGATAATAGTCTTCACCAAGGACAATGACTAGAGTATTCCGATGAACAAGAAAAAAAGCGTGCACAGAGAGCAGACTATAGATGGTAACTGTATTTTTGTTGGCACGAAAACCAAATCCCTTTTCTTATGTTTATTTCCGCTTGAATACAGCAAAAAATCGATATGTACTACTAGACACACGTAATTTATTGTATTTATGTTATCGTGTATCATGTTATCTTAATCCTGGATGCGGATAAAATCATCAGAATTAATTCATAACAACAATTGTGCCGTCATCAAGACCAAAACAACAATAATCTCGTTTATCATACAGAAAGAGAAAGAGTAGCGCGACTCACTGAAAAGTGAACGACCAAAAGCGATTACAACTTATGATTGTGTGGAAGCATAGCGGTAAATAGGCTCAGTTTTTCAACAAAAATTTCGAGTATTAATTGATTGTTTGTTTCTCTTGTAATGAAATTCAAACACTTGTCAAGGTCTATAATCCTTATCGATAACCATTGCAGATTGCAATACAACTATTTAACATGGAAATTTTTCGTTCATCATTAGGTATTATTGTTTTTGTATTGATAATGCTTGTAAGTAATATTGACGGGAGAAATTATACTGACCTTCGTTGAGCTAACATGAACCAATATCGATACACAAATCTTGAACTTCAATTTTCTCTTTTTCATTTAAATTTTGCTTCTGCATTAATAATAGCATTCTTTCGAAATGTGTTAATAATAAATTATCGTTATCTTTTTTCATATATAATGCAGTAATATATTTGGATATTTTAATAATTGTCACGAAATCATCATATTCGGATGAATAATTTTCAAATAATTCGAAGGATTTTATAAAATGTTTTAATATTAAATCATCTTCATCATTATTTTGTAACAAATAGCAATATCTGATACAGTAATTTAAACGAGTCATTTCTCTTTTACCATTTTTGTTATTTGTTCTTTCGATTATCGTCAGTGACTTTTGATAGTGTTCACCTGCTTCAGCATACTGATCTTGTAGATAGTAACATTCCCCTAGATCATTATGAATCGTACCACACATTTCAGTAGTTTCTGACCTTGTTTGTTGCTCATATTCTAACGCTTCTGTATAATATTGTAAAGATAAATTGAGTTCTTTAGTTTTAAAGTAAATAGTACCGATTAAACGATAGATTGTTGTAAATATAGGGTAACTACTGAAAGAAATTGGTCTATGTCTTATCGATACACATTCTAGTAAATGTTTTAGTGCCTTAGGATAATTCACCATTCGATGATAAGTTTTACCTATGCTAAAGTGTATATTAACTTTTTCATCATAATTGGATGGATCAAATTCATTATGTATTTCTAAACATTGATCAAGATGTTTAAGAGCATATAAATAGTTTTCTTGTGCAAGATAGATATTTGCAATAGTTAAATGAATATCTGTGAATACCCATTTCAGATTATTTCCGATAACATTTTTTAAAGCTTTTTCAGAACGTCCTTAGACACATTAGACGCCCTCTGTAGATGTCACCAAAGAGATACAAAAATAGGATATTTTTCGAGTTCATTAAGAGATGTATGTTGTAAAACGTGTTCAAAATATTCTATTGCCTTGTGATAATCACCCATTTTAATTAAAAAATCTCCATAATAATTATCTGGCCAAAAGTCTTGTTGCATTATATTCCGCTGTTTTTCGATATAATCGTTTTTCAAACACTCAGCGTCACCTACACATGTCATCGATACAATCAAGATGTCTTTTTCTCTCTTAATAATGTTTCTAATATCAGTAATTTTAAATACGGCACCCAGATCAAATAAAATCTCTTCTTCATGTGGGTTCTCATTAAACTCTGATATATAAGCATAAACACTATTCGTTAATTCGGTATCAATTATAATTTCGAATATAACATTAAACATAAAACATTCTGCTACATCACGCAGTAATATCGTAGATAAAAATCCGTTAGTCGATATGTATTTTCCTTTTAATATTTTTAGCTGTGCAATAGCCGCTGGAAATAACTCACCATCACGATAAACTACAAATGATTTAGATACTTCTCGATAAAATTCTAAATTTTCCTCAAATAGTCTTTTCGGATCTAAACAAAGATCAACAATGTAGTATCTTAATTTATATAATGTTAGCGTGTCTTGTGTTCTTAATGCCTGATTAATAATTTGAAACGGAAAATCGTTTTTTTGTGTACCATCGAATAGCCAAATACGGTTTAAAATTCTCGACTACTGCTGATTGTCTTTTTTCGACTGAGATGATTGTTGAAACAATTTTAATACTTTCTCAACGAAGAAAAACCAAGAAGAGGAAGAAGAATTTGCTGAATTCACCGCATTCACTTCATGTGATTCTTCTAATTTTTTAAATATATCTATGTAGTGTGATGATTTTAATTCTTGATGAAATAGTCTTGATAACATAGAATTTTTCGAATATCCACGAATATCATCACTTGAACGATATAACAGGTTAAATTCATCTATTTTTTTTTATATTGTAGAAATTTTATGATAATATAAACGACAGTAGTCGATCATTTCTTGTTTCGAAGCCAATAAATTCATATTCATCAGAGTATCACGTAATAATTGATACCGTAAATAGTCAAGAGATTCATCATTTAAATCACATATAGGTTTACTATTTTTCTCAAATAAATTAAATATCGATAAATGCTGTAATAGTAAACATAATTCATTTTGTAACGCTTCAAATAGGTCGTTATACTCTACATAGATACCCATTAATTTTGAATATTTATTATCATCAAGTAAATCTTGATACAATTGTTTATTTCTACAAAATATATGAAACGAATATATTTTATCTTTGTTTTCATTATTATGAAATTTTTGTAATGTGTCACGACAATATTGACCGGATACAATAAGAATTATTTTATTATGTTGACATGTATCGATTGATTTTATCAATTCATTCATCGTTGTACATAAAATGCAATGATCATGTACTTTTTTTATATCTTTTTTTATTTGAATATCAAACTTCTCAGCAAACCATACAATCGTGACATTTTTATTTGTTATGATATCATTAGTTTGTCAATATATCTTTGTTCTATCCGACGTTATTTTCTACAAAATCGAAAATAAATATATTTTCCAGCCTTTATCATAACATATAAGGAAGGTAACACCAGCAGTAATTATTCCAACATAAGGTGGTAAACATATATTGGTGAGTATGCTGTCAACTAGTTTATCAATCATAATCACTTTCTGAAGATATGGAACTGAATGAAATGAATTATATAAAACATAAGAAAACCGATGTAACATATTATACTACATAATTTTAGTCAGTACTCTCCTCTATATGCCTTCAGCATTCATTAAGTCGCATTAAGTGGCAAGGTTTGTCCAATATACATAAGAAAAAAAATCTTTTTATTTACACAATTACGTATGAATCTTCTTTGAAAGATAAAAATGGTGTCAGAGATTCACGCTTTAAAAACTGCAATTATATAATAGTTTTTGAACGGAAGGAAGTTCATACAATAGTATTTCTTTTTCTTCTCTAATGATTTCTTACATTTGATTTTTTTCCAACATATTTAAAAAATTCGTTTCCTATGATCTATGATTTATATGAGTGAATTGCACTAACACTGCACAGTTTATAAACGTTAAAAATGGCCTGGGTTAAGCATTCACTCTTCAAAAGTAAATAGAAACAAAATTTTCTACCTACTGCTCGCAAAAGTAACGGAAATCAAATTTTTGTTTACCTACGGTTTGAAAGAATTTTCGGGCCGAATTATACATTACACTTATTCTCAAAAATATAAAATATATATATTCTCGCTTATATAAAATCTTAAAAGTGATCAAAATCGCCATTTTATTTTTTGCTGATTTCTTTTGTTTGCTTTCTCCTTTTTTATTACCTTCTATCTTTTCATTGCCCTTTTCATTTGTTTTAATTGTTTTTCTTTTGTTTATATAGAAACATTAAAAACTTCCATTTTTCTGTTTTTTTTTGTGACTGGTTCATCTTTGAAAATGTATCTTTGAAGGATAATTTCTGTTCTCCATTTTCTTGCGAGCAGAAATATGCATATGATTTTGCTCATCACGTTAAACGTGTTTCTTTTTTTGCATAAGTTCGAGATAAATTTTTTTCATGTAATCCAAGGACGTTGTGCCAATTTATTATGGAAAAATGGTTTAGTACCAGATAACTCACTCGTCGAATATCTAGAGTTACTGAATATCGAACTTGAGAGCAAGACACTTTCTTATAACATTTAACAGTCACCTGATATAAGTCCAGATCTATTACCGTATCGCGCTACACATTCAACCTCATTTCACACTTCATTAAAAGCACAAAACATCTCTAGAACAAACATTTTGATGAATTTAGGAGACAACTGCACGTCTTATTTTTTTTTTTTGTTGAGATATTCAATTTTTATGAAAACCTCAAAAACTAATATTCTGTCATCTTGAAAAATTGTTAACTTAAAGTTTGTAACAACATGTTACCTAGACTAAACAACTTAAATAAAAGAAATACACGTTTTGATTTCACTGTATAACATTCAATTCAAGGAGCACACAAATTACAGGTCTGAAGTATGGATAAAGAAGTCGTTACTTTAAACATGTTGCATCGGAAATAAATCCGACAGCAAATAAATGATTTGTTGAGAAAACTAAACAAAAAAAGATGGAATTAATATACAGCGACTTCTTTGATTCTGTAATCCTAAAATGCTAAACTGCCTAATGTATTTATAACATAATAATAAAAATATGCAAGCGTAAGACGAATTTGTCTAAAAAATTCGTGCAATTTCAAAATGAGATGAATAAAATAAAAAAAGTGTGAGTGTCGAATTAATCGAGGACCGGTGACTCCGAAAAGTCAGCTCCATAGCTTGCTTCAGGCTCAAGAGGAAAATAGTCCAAGATCGCGGCTCACGTTGTCCCTTTGTAGATAATGTCTATTTGATTATGGAAATAGTTGGAGTTCAGCAATCTCTCTCACAGAACGACAACAAAATAGATTTACTTTGCTTTTTTCTGTCCTTTCGTGATTGTTATGCAATACAGTCAACGTGCATTTTCATTTTAGATTGATCAACTATATTCATGTGTTAAACAATTACCAGTGCGTATACTGATTCTGGCACAGTGGTTGGACAAAAGCTCCTTTTGTACCTGGATTGTAAAGGGACGTCTTAAAACGTACGATTTACTGAGCCAAACATTTTACGACACTTGTTAGTTGTCTTTATTACATGAATATCCCAGTTCGGATCCTGTTTGAGTATTATACCAAGTAATTTAACTTTCTTCACTCATTCTAAACTATTACCTTCTAAGTTCAGTGCTACTGTTGATAAAGAAAATTTTAATCTCTCAAAAGCAATCTAGATACATTTTTTCGTACTCATATTTACTAGATTTCGAGAACACCAAACGCGTCACTTCTAACTGTATGTCTGGAAGAACCGTGCATAACGGTAAAATTTGAAATATAAACTACTGGTTGTTTTGTATTAGTAGATAGATAAAGTGTCCTCTTCAAAATGGGATCTAAGCAGTTGTGTGAAAATCTTCCTGAAGCAAGCTCGGAGTCACCGGTCCTCGATTAATTCGACACTCACACTTTTTTTATTTTATTCATCTCATTTTGAAATTGCACGAATTTTTTAGACAAATTCGTCTTAGGCTTGCATATTTTTATTATTATGTTATAAATACATTAGGCAGTTTAGCATTTTAGGATTACAGAATCAAAGAAGTCGCTGTATATTAATTCCATCTTTTTTTGTTTAGTTTTCTCAACAAATCATTTATTTGCTGTCGGATTTATTTCCGATGCAACATGTTTAAAGTAACGACTTCTTTATCCATACTTCAGACCTGTAATTTGTGCGCTCCTTCAATTGAATGTTAGAATGAAACTGTTTGTGCTCATCGATGTGATAAGGTATACGATCGAGTAACTTTCCCAATTTCCAATTTATAGGGAGCAACGTGTTTTCACTTAACTGTGTTACAATTGTGTCGACTGATGTTTGTAAAATATTTCTAATTTTAGTTAATTTTATACTTAATGATGAAAATTCTGGACAGTTGTCAGATAATGTTTCTATGCCATGTAGAATAATCGCTATTTTGTCGATATTATGTGATGTGAAAGACATTTTGTCCATACTCTCTACTATTGACTACTATCGATGTGACGCTGTGAAATTATTAGGCAAAACGCTGATAAGAAAGATCATCACGGCAAAAAGGAATTCTTTTTTATACAGTCATCTGGCGTTGATTATGTGTATAACGGTTCGGCTATGTATCATGTCGTTGCTAGCTTGAATCAGTTTCTATCAAAATTTGACCAAACAACGGTATAGTAACGATGCATTCATCGGATACAATCGTGCAATACATAGAAATAAAGAAAACGAAAAAAGAACAATTTTTCTATTATGATCTGGATAGTCCAGCAGTGTCCGGATTCTTTCAATTCCGGAGCTTCTCTTTCCCCACAAGAATTTCTCTCTACCCGCAGAAATTTTCACAGCAGATACGGTTTGTTTTATTATTATTCGAAGCTTAACATCAGACTTAACAAAATTCGAGAATTTTCTTTCACACGAGAACTTCAACGATAATTTCTCTCTTAGCCAATGGAAATTTCTCTGTTTGCCAACAGGAATTTTTCTCCTCCCACGAGAATTTCTCTTTTAGCCAGTAGAAATTTCTCTGCTAACCGGCAGAAATATGTGTCCTTCAACCAAACAATGCTTCAGAATATTGTAATATTTATGAAATATTGGATATTTATTTGTGTAACAAGGATAAAGCTCTTGCGTTTAATTGTGATAAAAATTTAATTAAAATACAACAGTAATTCAATACTATGACCAATAATGTTAAACGTACCGAACAGTTATTTAGGAGGCAGTGCACGATAGAAACGTACGTTTTGTGTATAGCGTGCTCAATGACTTTTCAAAAACTTTTGTCAAATTAACCAATTGAATTATACGCCACTCGACGCAGAATGAAATTCTACGTCTGAATATGTATAAGCGAACATTCCGCAGTGCATAGGAAGGGAGAAATACCGCAAAAACTTCGAATTTTCCAAGCTTTTTCGGAAAACATTTTTCGAAAGCCATCTTGAAATTCAGCCACTTCCATCAACTAAAACATTTTTCTGATTTAACAGCTCGATGCCGAATCCATTTTTCCATCGAGCTCCGCAAATCGGAGATTTTTAACACTAAATTTCGATTTTTCCGAGATGTTTTTCCGAAGCTCTCGATATTGTTAAGTAGTAAAACTATCTTAATTAATTTTCTAACTTTATTCAGTAACCAATTACTATGTTATACATTCGCAAAAATATAGCTATATATACATATCACCGAAAGTCCGAGAAAGAATTAGAAAAGGATCTAATGAAGTCAGAAGAACTGGTCAGAACATGACATCATTAGGTCATGACGTACAAAGAAGAATAGGAAAGAATATGTCATTTACTACTGGCCGGACTAATGACGTCAGTAGAACAGAAAGAAAGAGAAAGGTCACTATAAACATATGACCGTATAACATATCATATGATGTAAAAAGAAGAACGAAACGAAGACAACAAGGACTTCTTAACAATATTTCACCTTTGCTAACTTTTTCAGAAAACAAAAAGACATGGACTAGAAAGAGAATTTTATGCGGATTCCAAATATCACCTTATTCTTGAATGAAGATCTTTCCTTTGTCCGTGGCAGCGAAATCCCTTTCTACCAACTTTTAAAATTATATAATTCCAATTATTTTTTATATAACATTAAGTTGGTGGAAAAGGCTTGTTTGAAAAGAAGTACCTAACCAACAAAGAAAACGTCACTGTACTCCAAATAAGGCTTTGCAGAAAGTGCCACCTAACCGAAAGAATGAGCATTATAAAACTTCGTATTTATGCACAATCAATAGAGGCTTTCAAGTGTCATCTAGCCGTGAGTTATATTTTCAAATACTATATGTTCGTTTGTATAGAAAAAATACATTAGTAAAAGACAGATGCGATTTATATCATCACACTTTGTAACTTGTTAAAACGCTCAGCTCTATTATTTTAAATTGAGGTACATAGAAGTTTGTAGAGAACTGAATTGCGCATCTTTTGAAAAAAGTTGAGGATATTTTCTCTATACTGAGATATACGCAAAATACCAGTGTCTCAATCATTTTGCTACACCCGGTAATTCTCAGTTTTGTCCATCAGAACTCAGTATTTATGCAGTAAAAATATCATATTTGGAATCAGGATCATTCGACTTATGTGTATTTCTGTTATATCCGATCAGTTTAGTTTTTGCTGAATTTTCACGTTGAACAATTCATTGACCAAGATTTCTGCCAAAAAAATGTAAATTTCGAAATACACGTCAACCGACTTTGTTTTTCATATTGATTTTTATTGCATAAAAGTTGTGTTCTTATGGAGGAAGTTGAGAATTATGAGCATAATTCCGACTTTTTGATCACTCAGATGACAAAGACTTTAGCTAGTACTACAGTACTGGACGGATGTATATACTTTCTGCTATCCTCTGCACACCACTTATTTTGCATAATACATATCGGTATATAAAAATTGGAGAATTTACCAAAAAAAGTTCTCTTTTCTCTATGGGAAATCGTAAATAAAATCGCAACACAGCAGATTTTAGACACATTAAGCCGTATTCCGATGATCGAATCTCATGTCACTCGTTAGTAATGGTAGGGAATGGTAAGGAGCCCGTCAAAATCGCATGTACTATTGAAAATTTATTCACATTTTATTGTCCAGCGGACTTTTAGAACATTCTGTATCTGTATGATTGTTGTTAATGTTTGTTCAACTCAACTGAATTTTGTCGAAGCTGTTCATTGATCGATTTCAATCTCAATATCGCACAACAGCATGAACATTTCCAAATCAAAGAAAGTCCATAATTGTATTAACCGAACTTTAACCTTTGATTTGTAGTATCCTTGTCTATGCGATCACTATTAACGACTTGTATATTATACAAAAGGCATATGTTTATTCTACAAAATCATACAAAGTTCCTAGATACAAAAAAGAAAAGGCAATTGGTTTTTTATCAGCATATACTGTAGTTTGTAGCATGTCCCTATCCAGTATGTCAGTTTTGAAGTAGCACACACACAGCTTAAGTGATACTACATTAACTCATATTTTCCTTAGATAACTAACAGGAGGTTTATTCTAAAGCGAGATACTGTCTGTCCTCTTGAAAATGTTATGGTACAAGAGCTATTTTAGAAAACAGCTGAAGTTTTGAACTGAAATATTTTAACTTTATCGACTTGTAACCTAAAAAAATAAGAACCATAGTACTTATGTTGTATTAATTGAATGAAGTAAATAAAATTCATTTAAGTGAAAGGAATTTGCCGTCGATAATAAATAAATGCTTGATTGTTTTAGAAAAATAATAATAGTTTAACAAAAAATTTCTACTGATCTAAACAGATAAAACATGCACGAAAGTATGAATCATATCCTTTCGAAGAAGGTTTTGTTGTCGCAATCCACGGAAATGAATGAAAATATTTCTTTCAAGGAAAACGAAGAAAGAAAAGGACAGGAACAAATGTTCCATAATACAATAATTTACGCTGAAATGCGATATCCGCAAAACATGTGACATATTTTACTAGACAACGTAAACTTGAACTTTATAGATAAAACCTTCATGCTGCGTAGTCAACAATGTGGCATTGAAGACGTGAGTGTTTTATGTTGGGTATAATATTACAACAAATAATAGTTCATATGTCAAAATGGATCTGTTTTATAGTAACTACAAAGGCGAAAAATGTTTCATAATAAGAACCACAATAACATCAATTCTGTTTCATTTCAATATTTATTTCTTTTCAATTAATATTCGATGTGTTGATCTATACAAAGTTTACTGTTAAAAATATAAAATGTAAAAGTGCGTAGCCAATCAAAAACGAAATTATGAATGTATATGCAACGCGTAGTGCAAATAGTTGAAGCGATGATAATAGGCTTCAACGTTTTACTGTCTTGAAATATCAAAGTGTTTTTACAGTAAGCAGTTGACAACAAAATACAAACGCATCTGAGTGATGCACTCCTTGAAGATTGATCAAATAGAAACGTTTCTAACGGTCATCTTCGAAGGATTGATTATTAATCCATAGGATGACC